CTACTACTACTACTACCACCACCATGATGGCTGTAGCTATAGCTTCTACTCATACTGTTCTCATCACTATGAAGTGTGGTATTGTTACCACATCAAAGGTAGTGTTATTGCAACCAGTTTTTTGTTGGTAGTGCTATATTGCTACAACATTTGCTCAACCTGGCTGCTGCCGTTTGTGGTGCTGCTAGTAACAGTACTGTCATTATAGTTATCATTACTACCACTTCCTAGTAATTGTACAATTACTACTGCTGTAATTGCATTAGTGCCGCTGCTACTCCTCCTGCAGCCGCTACGTCACCCTTGAAGTGACCGTGAAGCCCTTGCACTCAAACTTGCGCCGGTAGGCGCACGTTGTATAGACGGTCCGCCCAACAGGCAGTGCACAATTAGGCGGATTCAGGTATCCACAATCTGGAGATTTGAGATCTTGCGCTACGTGATGTACCCTCTACCTTAGGATTTACCATTTCATGCGATTTTGAAGTGGTGCGAGATTTTTTTTCATTTTTGCCCTTCGCCGCAGAGAATCGACTTTGCGCGGCAGAGTTGACCGGCTACATCTCCACCGCGCACGGAAACAGAAACGCAACGGTGCTTGAAATTCAATTCAAGGCCCCTAAGTCCCTGATAGAAACCTCATACTACTGGTGCTAGTATGCGCCACTCTCCTTGCATGCCCTCCTGGTGCATAGGTTTCGGGTGGGTATGTAAAGGTTTCTGAGGTAGAAGTTGGTGAGGGGTGCAGTAGAAGTTGGGATGGTCGTTCAGAGTCCAGATTCACATTCTCAAAGTTGATACAATAGGGGCCTAAATAAATACAAATATTATGGTTCCGTATTCCTTATATAATTTTGGTCTCAAAATGATATTGGTGATTATTTAGGTCCCTGTAGTACGTTGTCAGATTCAGTGACTCCATGGTTTGGAACCTGGGAAAACTGACCAGATGACAGTCCATAGTCCATTGCAAGTGTGATTGTAACATTGTAACTACTCTTCGGATAGCGCTAGAATTTCGTAATATGCCCACCTAGAGTGATCCAATCGGTCTCGGCCGTAGGTTTGGGGAGTTTTGAACTTCTTGTGCCTAAGGCCGTGTCTGAGTTCAGCAAGCAAGTCAGGGAGATATTATAGGCACACGTTGCACCTGCATCTTGCCCCTAGATCGAAAAGGTACCAGTACCAAACAGGTGGCTTAGGGTTTGGAGTATAGGAAAGAGGGTTTAGGGTTCAGGGTTTAGGGATTAGGGTTTAGGGTTAGTCAAGGGGCCACTTCCTCTTGAAAAAAAAGAAGTTGGCCTGACGGCCTCTCACCCTCTTTGACTTGCACCTAGCAATCTTGAGGGCTTAGGGTTTGGGTTTAGGGTTTACAGTTGGCGTTAGGGATTGATCTCAGGGATGCGCCACAGATACTGACTCCAGATTCGATGCAAACGATCTTGCTGACAGGAGCTTTAAAAGCCCTAAGCCCTGATGCTGGAGGCTGTTGCTGAGAGCACTCCGTAGGTGGGTTTAGGATTTAGGGTTTAGCATGGGTAAGCCAGGTTCGCATCAGGAAGAACCCGGTAACCCATAGAATGAGCCATTAACAATAATCGGAGAATCAAGCGGAAAAGGAGATTGAACATGAAATGGAGGGTAGTGTTATGGGGTTTACAGGTGTTATAGTTTAGAAGCCTGAATAATTGACAGGGTCATGGTCCTAGGTCCTAGATGCTGTTCATAGTTATGGTATAGGGTGCCTCAAAACAGAGCCGAGAATAGTACTGCTGGCAAGTATGTAGGCTCCGGGAGTACCCGCCGTAAACCCTAAACCCTTAACCCTAAAACCTAAACCCTTAAGCCTAAACCCTGAACCCCTAACCCTTAACCCTAAACCCTTAAAAACAATTTATATAACCCTAAACCCTTAACCCAAAGAGAGCCCCGAACCTTGACAGAACCCGAGTCACGACCAGGCCGGCAAGCGGGCTGGACCTTCCCGAGGCTTGTGGACCTGTTTGGGGTTTAGGGTTTAGGGTGTTGGGAAGATGGTTTTGGGATGTAGTTTAGGGTTAAGGGTTTAGGGATTAAGGTTTAGGGTTTAGGGTCTAAACTCCTTGAAGGGGCAGGGTACTACTCTAGTGGTTATTAAGGGGGACAGTAGGAGTTTAGACTATGGCTCATCTAGTTCTATGGGCTTGAGAGTTCTCAGGTTTTTTTAGGTTTGAGGGTGTGTGTTGTGGAGCTCAGTGAAACAATACCGCTGCACATGCACTGCTTTCGTTACGGAATACAATGTATGTAATCCACATCTTGAGGCCATTTGTGGGAGGAGCACATGTGGCGAATTTTCAGTTGGGTTCGAGGAGGGTCAGGCAGGGCGACATCCTTATATGGTAGTTTCCCAAAACTAGGGGACCCCAATATAGATCCCAATACACTATAGTCCTTATTATAGGGACCCCCCAACAGGGTACCCCTAATTTTGGAAAACCCCCATATATCCTTATGTCTCCTTCTTTCAATGTGGCCATGGAAGATTGCCAAGCGCTCCTTTCAATCAGAGATGTTTCCCCTAAACTCCCAAAACGATGACCTGTCGTCATCGGTCCAGGAAGCATGTCCATTGAAACAACTCGACACCAGAGCGTGAGGTTGCAGGCTTGCGAGTGTTATTACGGGTTGTCCGCCGGGAATGGAAAAAAGGAACCCTGTCGTAGCCTCTATAGAACCAATCATAGTGTAGCAGTTTCCATTTTCTCTTCCAGCAAGTGTTGGTCTGAACTTCTTGAAGAATTCTATAAGCGCATCCTTCGTCCCCGATCAGCAGACAATGCCAGCTGTGTATGCTGCATGTTGGTAGGACGTACCTTTCATTCATATCATCTGCATATTCTGCAGGTTTTTGATGGCTTCCTTCAGAGGCCTGCGTGGCGACTTCGGATAGGGAACTGCATCGTGCAACCCGAAGTGCCAAACCTAGAAGATAAAGTTCCCGCAAGCATGGACGTCTCCTCAATGCTCGCAGTTCCGTCTCCGGCTCCGCCGAGAGAGAGGCCTGTCTGGCACTTAGGGTTTAGGGATTAGCGTTTAGGGTTGGCACTTGGGCCACGTTTTACAACTGTAGTCAATCCAAAATCATAGGATGGTATTGTGGTCTTTGGCCCTAGAACTTTGAGGGGGTATGTTTTTACTTGGCCCAACCAAAAACACCAACCCGCTCGCATGTAAACGCCGCCCCTTCATACTAAACACTCTCCACTCCCAATATCAGGGGGAAGGGAGTAGGATGATCAGGATGGTCGTCCCTTTAGATCAGGATCTTGAGAGAGGCTACGGAGATTTTGAAAAACAAAAAAAAGCGGGTAGCTTCGTATGTAAGGGTCCTACATTGTAGCTGCTCCCGACGTAAACAACATGTATTTCTACAGTGCGTTTGGAAGTCTAGCGGGCGCGAAGTGTCTCCGACGTATACGCATACTTATACTTAGCATGTTGTTTTACAGGCGGCTCTAAGCTGTTCTGATTATTTTGTCCCAGATATTGCTTTGGATTTCTTCAGAACACTACGGACACGGAGCTGGGCCCTTTTCCTGAACTTTTCTAATCTGGTTCCCTTCTATAGGGCTTTAAGGTCATGCAAAGTAGTGCTGAGAACCTGGGATTGTGCTGGAAAGGATCCTGCCTGACGGAGTCATCATGACGACACAAGCAGCAATCAGGGGTCAGCATACACTGATGATACCCTAAACCCTCAACCCTAAACCCTAAACCATGCTAAAGAAATTGCCAGGAGCCGACCGCCAGAGGTGGAGGCATGGGAGTTTCATATTTGCGTTCGGTTGTTCAAACTAAAGCTAGAAGCCCAGGTACCTGTATAGGCTCTTGGGTTATAGATAGTATAGGTTTATATAGGGACTCAAGGACAGGAACCCAATATGTAGGTAACTGGGCTTCTAGGGTAATTGCAAGTTTCTACAACTTGGCCTTGGCTTGTTCGGATGTCGGCTGGCGATTGTGCGGATTTTCGGGCGCTTGGTTGGGTAGTTAGTGTTTAAGGGGCCCTTTGGCAAACAAGATCTGTCGCTGAGACAAGATAGAAATTGAGAAAGCCAGATGCGGGTACTGGCTTGGCTTGAAGGCTCATGTGACTTAGTGATTGTATATGCCGAGAGAGAGAGAGATATATATATATAAGATATATCTATAAATGCAGATATATATATATATGTATGTACAACTGGGGTTGTGGACTTGGTCATATCTCAGTTAAGCTATGCAAGATTACAGTAGTAAGTCGGAACCATGAATCAGGTTATACTGTTCTGTATGCTCTGCCTAAATAAGCCTGGGAAGCGCCCTTGTATCCATTCACTTTCAACCACCAGTCAGCTGAGTTTAGGGTTTGGGGTTTAGGGACCAGTCAGCTGATGAAGGCTAGATTTGTTATTCGTGTCTCCGGCTCGAAAGGACAGACTTCAGGACACTAAGCTTTGGGTACTGGCCCCCAGTCATTAACAGTTGGAGAATAATTCTACAACAGCTATATAGAGCCTTTAGCATGACCCCTGTTATAGACTGTTAACCCTAAACCCTGAACCGCTGTTCATGGATAAAGCAGATTTCAAACTAAACTCCTGATGCCCTGCGCTTCTCCTACGCAGTTCGAGGTGACGCAACGACCCATTCAGCGAAGAGAGGAGAACCTGGGTCGAAGGGGTTAGGGTTTAGGGTTTAAGAATAGGGGGACCAAACATTCTAGTCCTTATTAATTATGGGGAACCCCCAAAAAGGTACACCTAATTTTGGGAAATCCTCAAAGAGGACATGACTTTGATTTTTTGTTATACTACAAGCCAAGAAGGAATCTGAAGCTATGATTTTCAATACTGCCCTGAAGTGGACCCAGGAAAGAAGAGGAGAAGGAGGATGAATATCCTCCAGCGCGGGTCCTCAGCCCTCGTTACCGCAGAAGCTACCTGAACTTCAAATACCCACATATGTAGCCAATCTACCCATACCTTTGGGTTCGTGCTATTGCTGGGTACCTAGATCTAGTTGCTGCTGCTTTCCTTGTTCAAGCTGTTTTTTCAATCCCATACGCTCAAAGTTCCTTGCAATCTCACCTACCGTATTTCCGGAACCTTTAAGGATGGAGTACTACTTCTCCACAAGCAAATTCTCCAGCCCAACGCAATGTTTGGCCTTGTACCCCACCAGAGAGAGACATAGTCTTGCACTGAAGAACATTACACCCTCAACTCACAAGCTGGGCAAATTACAACGACCCCACCTGACCTCACCCCAATTGATAAAATGATGGCTCGTACAGAAACTCGTCCCTAATTGTCTTTATTTGAGGTTCTGAGCTTATTGCAAATGTCCAGATAAGCCCTAAGCCCAGTGTACCTTCAACCCTGGGCTGTGTACGGGATGCCAATCAAGAATAGGTGGGCGAAAGCCGTGGCCGTGCCCAGCAGCGAAGGCATCTTTCTCGCACATTGCTCTTTCTTCTCGTCTTTCATTGAAGCGATTGAGCTTAGCCTTACACTCGGTCCAGGGCGTTGGGCTAGGCTTCAAGATCGTTTGTGACGTGGGGCTGATATGCTGTGTACCGAGATTCTGGAGCACCAGCTCATTGCCTAAAGCCCTTACTTTTTTTGGAAGATTGCACTAGTGTCTTTTGGCACTCCTAGTTCCTCATACTCCCTCAGCCATCCTGCGAATCTGTCATAAAAGGTGCCGTTGATTTTTCGTCGCCTACCCAGCTGAAACTGAATCTGTTTCGGTGACGTTGCCAGGGCTCCGTTTGCCCGCCTGCCGCGCAGGCGCAAGGCTAAGGCGCTCCTGCATAGCTTGGGGAACTTGACTAGACGTTCCAAATACATGTTAGTTCCCCTGAACACGGCTTTCATGGCCTCCAAAACTAGAGGGCGCGTAACCTATGATGCAGACTTGTTGGCCTGTATCTACTCCAGGTGCATGATAATTAGGATCTGAAGTGGAAGCTTACGATGCAGGGGTTGGGGTAAGGGCTGCTTTTTGAACGGCGAAAACCTCAACAAAGGGCCATGCTCATATCAGCCGCGGTCGCAACTTCCTGCATGAGTCCAGACGCAGTCATCTCAAACTGGAGCCGACCCTAAATCCCAACTTAGGTGGACTCCCCACCCAGTAATAGTGACTATTGTGGATAATCAGGAATATAGTAGGGTCCTCTTATATTCCTATTATGCCACTATTACACTCTAAATCCCATCCATTCATGGTTGAGCATCTGCCAGGGAGCGGGGCGCCGTGGCGAGCAACTAGAGGCGGCGGAGAAACTGCAAAGGGCTTCAGGGTTTGCAGCTTGAGTTTGAGGGCAACCCTCTACCCTAATATAGACTGTTACAGGCTACGCGGTTTAGGGTTTAGGGGATACCCAACCTAAACCCCAGTTTTGTGAGATGGTTGGGTTTGCTTTGGTTGACTCTTGGCCCCCTGTTGAAGGCTTCCTTCATTCGGTCACCCCCGTGGTTCAGCGCTTCCCAAAGTGGAGCAGGGCCCGGAGGAACTTCTTATTTAGAACTGCTCGGGTAGTATTTTATTTGGGGACATCACGGTACCCAATATAAAGCAAGCTTATGTCCTCCTTTTGGATATAGTTTTATTTCGATTCAGGATTACTTCGGCTAATTCTGAGAAAGTTTGCGCAAGGTGTCAGCACTTTGAGGCCGGTATAAGCTCTGAGGTGTCTCACTGGGCAGGTGCGGATCATCTTGGCTGCTGTCAAGGAATTCGAACTTGAATTCAGTTACCATAAAATGTGTGTGTGTAGTATAAATGATGCGGGTGAATAGTGGATGAGATGGCTTCCTGGTTCTGGTAGCTTTCACTATGGACTCTACGGCAACCCAGTTGTGCAGCCCGAAGGTGGTTCAGGTCAGCATGAGGCGGCAAGCATGTATCCACATTCCTGACATGCATGGACAGACACAAGTGGGCAAACATTGAGTCACTAAAGTCCGTCAAACTCGAGCTCCTATAGCGGCTAGCCGAACATGGTTGGCTTGCCTGAGAGCTGAAACAGAGACAGTCTGCAACATGACAGGCAAACTGAGTGCTGACTCTGATGCAACGGCGCATGTGACTGAGGTCACTGGGCCTTCGGCCTACGTGTGTGTTTTCGGGAGGTGGATGCGACGACCCTCCCACTGCGCACCTGAAGCTCCTAAGCCCGACTTGCAGCAAAAGAAGAGGAAGCGCCGGCATGCCAGCCATGATAGGGAGAAGCCCGAGCATGGTTGCGTGCGTGAGGCGCCCAGAGCCGATACCGCGGAGAAAACGCAAGACGACGGCAAAAGACGCCGTTGCGCTTCGCACCAAAAGAAGCTTGTTGAGTTCAACGCTGAGCAGGCAGAAGTCAAAGCCGAAAAATCGGCCACACCTCGGAGGCAATCGTCAGAGAGCCCTGACGTAGACCGTCTGGATTTTGCCATTGCAATGGCAGAGAAGGGCAGGGCATCGAAGGTAGCAACCTGGAAGAAGCTGGCGAACGGCAAGGGGAAGCCCTTTGTGGAGCGTTCCGAGCTTGCAGGACCACCCGGACTGGACCGGGAGCTGTTCAGCCACAACTTCGAAGACTGGCTGAGCGACCGTGGCTTGGAAGAGGCCTTGGAACGCGACCCACAGAAGGACCCTGCACTTGCTGAACTTGCTGACTGCAAACCGCCCCACCCGTGCTTATACTATAAGTACAAGACGCCAGACATCCCTGACAATGCGCAGATAGAGCCTGGCCCCAACTGGAAGCGGGCCTACCACGGGACGTGGTTCTACGGGCTGCGAAGCATTTTGCGCCATGGGGTGCTGCTCGAATCTAATGACAAGGAGAAGGGCCACGAGTTCAATGACCCAGGCCTTTGCCTGGCTCCTGGCTTGCACAAGGGAATCTGGAACGCCAAGCCACATGCTGTGTTTGATGACGGTCTCTTCCACAGAGCCATCATCGAGGTCCGCTACGATCCGGCTCAAGTGACTCAGAGCCAGAAGAAACGCAAGAGGAATGGCGTTCTTCCCAACATCACCATGAACAGCGATGCTGTGGCGATCACTGGGTTGATTATCCAGGTTAACTCACAAGTCTACGCTGGAGAGGAGCGCTTCACGGGCTGGGATGAAGACCTCGAGGTTATTCCGCGGCCTGTACTGAGAAGCCGCAGAGCCTGCGAACGCCAGAGGCGTCGGGATTTTAAGCGGCGGACGCAGCCCGCGGCTTGTAGCGATTGCTCCTTCCAGTGTGACACAGGTAAGGTCGGCCAGAGTTTGCTGGCCGCCAAGCTTGAGGAGGAAGGGCGGCTGGAGCGAGAGCGTCGGCGCCTCGAGTACGAGGCGCGTCGGGAGAGCTATGCTCGCCGCGCGGAGGAGGCCTGGCGTGAGCGCGATGAGCTGCGTCGCCAGCATGCCCAGCGTGAAGAAGAGGCCCGGCGTAGACGCCGGTCTTTGTCTCCACCAGGTCGCTTCAATGCATTCTCACCATCCAGGCGGAGGAGGAGGAGGAGGATGCATTCTGGAAGTCAAGCTCGATGAGAGCTTTCAGAATGGATTCATTTCAAGTGTACAGGCCTGCGTGCAGACAGAGAGCGGCGCAGCCAAAAGATTTGCAGAGATTCAGCTATCCAGCAGGCTTACCCTGGAAAGTTTCCACGCTACAGGCAATAGGGCATCATGAGCCTTGACCCCAATCCCTAGTACCTGAACCCCAAAAGTAGGTAACATGATAGCCATAAACCCAAAATGCTAGCATGAAGGCCACTATTTTACATACTTTTGGGGTCCAGAACCCTAAACGCTGAATGTTAGCTCCCACGTTCTTTTCCATTATCCCTATATATCCCTTATATAGTACCCTGTGTATGGGGTCCAGGTAGAACCCAGGCTCCCTTTGTGATGGCGTGTTCTTCTTTTTCAGCGGTGAGCGCCATCCAAAGTGTGATTCAGTTTGTTAGGGAAGCAATTGGATCGTGTCACCCAAAACCCTAGGGTTTAGGGTAAACCCACGAAGTGCAACAAAGGCCTACCCCAAATGTACGCAAGAAGTTCCAGCGATGAATCCTTCAGTTGGGTCGTTGATAGAAGATGTTTTTCAATGTCTTGATATCATAACACTCGTGGAGTATGAAAGTTGCAGCCATCCATTTTAACATGAAGATGCCCTTAAGTAACCGTATAAACCCTAAACAGTTGTAAAGATGGAGCCCTAAACCCCAATTTGCAAGACAGGCCCCCACCGACCGCGAGACCACGGATGGCGAGCTCCCACTGGAGCCCGCCGACCCGAACCAGGATCCGCGTACAAGGGGGTGATATGGGGTTTAGGGTCTAGGGGGATAATTCTTTCACAGGGGCTATATAGGGCAATACATACGGGAGTATTGTAGGGGGGTGCCAGGAGTTCAGACTATGGCTTTTATAGGGTTCAAGGGGTGTACAGGCCAACAGAAATTTTGTGGTTCAGGTCCAAGATCCATTGCCTAGGGTTTTGGGGTTTGGGTTCAGGTTTTCAGGGTTTGGTCCAGGATTTTAGGGGTTGGGATCAGGATTTGAGGTGTGGGGTTAGCTGAAAACAAGATATTCAAAAGGGATCGCTGTGCCCCAAGTAGGGCTGTAGGGCTGTAGACCTGCACGGAAAGCCCACAACCCCTATCTAGCCCCAATATGACCCCTATATGGTAGTTTCCCTAAATAAGGGGACCCCAATATAGACCCCCAAATGCTAGAGTCCTTATCATAAGGACCCCCAAAATGGTACCCCCAATTTTGGGAAACCCTTATATGACTGCCCCACCGCCTTGTGCCCGGATCGAGCCTTTAGCAGGTGCCAGGGGCATGTGAAGGCCCGCAAGATGCTCGTGCTCTTTACCTTGAGCCCCGGAAAAAAACACTTCAACAACACGGTGTTCGTTTGTCTCAGAGGAGAGAGTGTTTCTAGGTATACGGCCATCTTGCAAGAGATGTTGCAGTGAACGTTTTCTTGAAACTGAAGGCAGATAATCTACTGCACTAGCCAGATAGTCTCCATTTGCTGCAGGAGGCCGTCGAGTCCACAGATGCGTTGGCCCTGGAACTTGGGGGTTGTTAGGGATTAGACCGTCTGAGCAGGAACATTTAGGAATGCTGTGCTGCATGGATCGCACGAGCACACAGATACTCTTGGCTGCTCTGGCTGGGTATAATTGTACGGTTGGAAGCCCCCATAGGTAAGTCTCAGCGCAGCATTCTGCATCCTAAACCCTCAACCCTGAACTACAGGTCTCACTAAGATTGATTTGCCGCCCTCCTCCGCCCCGCCGCATCTGCATGGGACCCCTCGTCCTTTTGATTCATGAGGGGTGTACAGCGGAGCGCTCATCCCAACAACTTGCTTTTCGAGAACAAAAGCAGTACCTGGACCCTGGATGTTCCACCTATTTGGGAATGGGCCATCAAGTTTACCTGGGACTGGTTGGACAGAACCCAAAGCTCAGTGAACCCTAAACCCTAAACCCTAAACCCTAAACAGCAAGAAGCAGGCTCCACCGCCAGCCTTCAGCTGAGGCTGGCGGCGAGCAGAGCGACCAGAAGGAGTATGACGCCCTCCTGCAGATGCTGAGGCTGAGGATATTGGGGCAATGGAGGGGTAATACAGGGATAATGGAAGAATATGGGAAAACTACATTTTAATAGGGGTATATATTGGGGGTTATATGAGGGAATATGGCAATATATCATTTGGGTTCGTGATTGTTAGTGTTGAGGGTTTATCATTTTAGGGTTTAAGGCTTTGGGAGTCAGAGTTCGGGGTTTAGGTGTCTGATCAATTTTGGCCATCAATTTTGGCCGTGCTGCGACGAGCTGTGACATGTCGCCCTGTCCAAAGCTCAGGGTATAGTTCCCCTTAAGTAGATAGAATATGGCTGTGCGTATATTATAATAAGATCCCCACATACCCCACATTCTATCTACTTAATTAAGGGGGACTATACGAGATCTTCTTGATGAAGCCATTATGCTGCCCAAACGAGTCTGCAAATCGTCCTATCTGCATGGACCTCCCAAATGTTTACATCAGGAAACTTGTTTTGCGCTTGGGTACATTACAAACGGTGTGTATGAAGATTAGACGGGAATGATGTTGACAATGTCACCCCTCAGACCTTCGTATGCTGTTAGGGAACTTAAGCTAAGCTAACATAATGGGTATCTATAGTAATTAGCAGGGTTTCCCCAATACAGTAAAGTAGATGAAGTTCCTTAGCAGCAACCCAGTGAACGGGGTCTAAATGCCCAGTCTGCCCTGCAATGATCCAATGGGGTGGTCCACTAAATCTGGATCCCTTTTGGTACGCCAAAGTATTTTAGGTGCTGTCATATAACCCATACAAGGGGCTTGGTAACAACCCTAGTAACCTACTGAAACCAGAGTGAGCGGGGTGCAATACAGGCCAATCTTACCCGTTCAGAGAACTGATGTGTATGATGTTCCCTACACGATTTCCAATTCTGTTAAGGCAATGCCCTAAACCCTAAACCCTAAACCTCCTACCCTCCAGAGAAGCCCTGCTCCGCCAAAACCCCAAACCTGAATCCCAAATCCCCACGCCTTAGCCCTAGACAGCGGACCCTGAGCCTCAAAGCCTATATACATTACAAAGTAACCCCAAGACCTACACCTCAAAGCCTAAACCCCGAACCCAAGGCCTCGAAACTGAAACCACAAACCCTTGACGTTAAAGCAGAATCCCCAAGCCATATAGCCTCAACGCCTAAAGCCCGAGCCCTACCCCTCACAGCCTAATACCCTAAACCCTTAAACCCTAAACCCTTTAACCCTAAGCCCTTAAACCTTAAACCCTCAAACCTTAAACCCTTCTAAACCCGAAACCAGGGACCAGCTCCGTGCCGAGACGGAGACCTCTGCGGATGCGGCCCAAAGCGCGCAGGGCGAAGAGGCAGGGTAGGGGGATTGGGGCAGTTGGGGCATGGTTTAGGTTTTAGGGTTTAGGGTTCATGGGGAGTGAGGGAAGTCAAAGGTTACATAGGGATAGTATTGGGGTTTCGGAACAGAACTTTTTCAAGTACGGAGTTTCGTGTGCTTGGGAGTTTGGGGGAGGGGGTGCTGATTGTGATCGCCAAGGGAGTGCCAGCGTGTAGGGAGCTCGGGGCTTAGGGTCACCAGTTCAGAGTTCGGGGTCGAGACGGAGGGCCTACATGGGATCTTACCGGGGTACTGAATTTTGGTTTACAAGAGCTTTATAATAAAAGCGTTCTTGCCTCGGCCCACTCTAGTGCATGCCTGCGCATGCACGCAGAACCTAAACCCCAAACCCTACACCCTAAACCCTACATAAGCCCTATGTACCCCGATATATCCCCTGTAATCCCTTTAAAGGTACCCCTAGTTTTGGGAACCCCCCCAATCAAACCCCCATAGCTCTTCAGCCCTGAGGCGCCCCCAGCAGCGGTCAGCGACCTGGACAGCCAGGGCCAAGGTAACGCGCTGAGCAAGGAGGATCAGGCCGGTATGGGGGTTTCCCAAAATTAGGGGGGGTTTAGGGTTTAGGGTTTAAGGGTTTAGGGTTTAGGGATAATAAGGGCTATAGTATTTTGGTGTCTACATTGGGGTTCCCTTATTTTGGGAAATTACTGTACTTCCCAAAAGGTAGGGGTAATGGGGATCTACGGTTGAGGGTTTTGGGTTACGAGTGTAGAGTTTAGGGTTTAGAATTTTGGGTTTCTGTGTTTAGGGTTGAGGGTTGAGGGTTTAGTCCCCCAAATTAGGGGTAATGGGATCTATTGAGAAAATGGAGTTGGAAATGGAAGCGACTATTTAGGGCTTAGGGTTTCCTAAGATCGGGGTTACCATTTTAGGGGTGTTTCGGGTCTGGACCAATGATGGAGAATGACATGGCAAATTGAAAGCCACATCGAAACAAGGATTATATCGTGGTTTATAGGGAATGGGGTTTCCCAAAGCTAGCAATAGTGGAGAATCAAATGGACAAGAACATGGATGAATACATGGAAACTACTACCATTGAGGGTTTTGGGTTTGGTTCCCGTGAAAGATTATAGGGTTTAGGTTGTAGAATGCACTACTGTGGATGGTTGACATGTTGCACACCACAAGATCCCCAGAATGCGGTAATTATTGAGCTGGGCATGTAAGGCGGCGCAAGCTTTTTCTCTATACGCAGTGGGCTGGGCAAACGTGAGTTATGGCCAGAAAACATCTCATAGTCCCGCTAAATCACAGTAATACATGACCCAAGAGTCCGAGTGTCTCATAATACACCTATCTAGATCAAGACGGTGAAGAGATTGAGTGAGAACTTCTTCAGGAATGGAGGCCCGCAACCCGCAGGGAGTGTGCTTGGATGGTTTTGAGAAACTCCAAGGCTTGGGCTTCAGGGTTGAGGGTTTATAAAGGGACCCTAATGGGAACCCCAAACAGGGATCCCCAAGAATATAGTAGGAATTTAATAGAATATTAGGACCCTGGTAGGTCTAATCCTATTATCTTCCTACTATATTCTTGGGGTTCCCTGTTTGGGTCCCTTTGGTTTGGGGTTTCATGGTGAGCCAGGCTTCAACAGGGGGAAGTGGCGGGTTCCCGGCAACAGTCCCCGATGATGCATTTGCCGCGCCATGTCATCTTCAATAAAGGTCCTACAAGGCTATGTGTGGCTATGTCTGTTGTAGGCTGGGGCTGTGTAGGTTTATGTCGAGGTCTTATACTTGGACTATACGTGCGGGAAAAAAGATCATGCAGCTTTTCTTTTTGCATAAGAGATCCAAGTTTACAACTGTAGTTGCACAGGGTTTTGCGTAACACTGCATATAGAAGCTGTGCACGGTGTTGACGATTAGCCTCCAGTGATCGCGTAAGAGCAGTTTGGCTAATTTGGGGATCGCAGGTTCTTGTTGTGATGGTGGTTCCAGCAGTAGTGCATTAGAAAATTGACGGAAGAAGGCAGGGGATCAGAGTATATTGGGTCGCTGTTAGAAAACTTAAGTTTTAGTTTCCATGAAGGGCATATATAGCAGAGTAATTTAGATTAAGTTCCTCAACCGCAACCCAGTATCGTAATTGGGCTTGGCCTACACGTTTTAGAGCGTTGCGTGGTGAGGGCCTGGGTTTTCATACTACATACATCAACAAGATGAGAACACCGGAAGACCCACACGAATGTAAATTCCCTAGACAGCAAAGGAATCTCCAACAAAAAACTCGAACCCTCTAATTTCCAACTCATCCTCCGCATGCTCTGCACAATTCCTCCCGTTGCTCCGTGATGCCGATAATGGTCCATGTACTTCTTAGTATGAGAAACCACTATAGCCCGCGTACGAGTCCAAACAACCCACTCACCCCCCCAGAAAACATACTAGCAGAAGGAGGTAACATGAATTATCAGGGTAGGTCATGTGCGACATTATCCCCTAAGCCCCCAGAGCCCCTGCAAGGCCCGAATCTTGGATCTCTTTGAAGCTCGCCGACTGGCTGAAAAGGCTGGCTTGAAGTTTGAAGTAGGGCTTCGTTGAGGGTATATGGTAGTTTCCCACAATAATAGGGGGACCCACAAATACTAAAGCCTCATTATAGGGACCCCCAAAAAAGTACCCTTAAGTTTGGGAAGCCCCGATATAGGGTTCCTCACCAAAGCTGGCGGATGTAGGATTTAGGGTTTAGGATTTAGGGTTTAGGGTTTAGGGTTCACCCTAAACCCTAAACCTGTCGAGCTGAAACAACCACACATGAAGTTTTACCTCAGCTCGGGAGGTGGTCCAAGTACCCAATAATTAGGTCCCCCTTAAAGGGGATCTATAGGAGTCTATAGGGATATTTGGGGTTTAGGGTTTAGGGGTCGAAGTACCCAATAATTAGGTACTTGGGTTTTGGGTAATAGAAATTGTAGTACAGGTGTTGGGCAAGTACATGACTATTAGGTACTTGGACCCTTGGGGTATAGCTGCGGTGACCCAGACCCCAAGTGAACTTGATGCGAGTATCTTCATTAGGAAATCTCCTTCGGCACCAAGATTTGTCCTGGTTTTCCGTGTACCTTCAAATCCTAAACCCTATAAACCCTAAACCCTAAGTCCACCTTACTTCTAAATGGAATGTTTAGAGATTGGGGTAAGGTTTCGGACTACAGGGTTGAGTTTGGGTTTAGGGTTTAGCGTATAGGGTTTAGGGTGTAGGGTCTAGGGGCCTCCAAACTTACATTGGACTTGCTCAGTTTGAAGAAGTCTCTGGCATCTTGAGGCAGGTTCCTCTTCCCATCTCGATGGAGCACATACCCCCGTCATTCAGGATTATAGTTATGGGGCTTAGGGTTTACAGAGATGCTTGTATGATTTCGATTATATTCTTCACGAGGCTGTCCTTGTCGCTGGATTTTGCATAGTTTCCACGACACTCGCCCGTAGCCCTGCAACCTGTGAAGCTAGGGTGATGCAGCAGAGCCTACGAAACGAGTCTTCACCATGGTATATGGTCCCCCTTAAGTAGATAGAATATGGTGTATATGGGGGGATCTTACTGTAACATACCCAAGGCCATATTCTACCTACTTAAGGGGGACGATGTACCAATAATTTCTGACACCCAACTCATCCCGACACTGTACATGCTTCATGGGTTGATCTGAAGATATTCGATGCGCCAGAAGCTGTATCCTAGAAGCCCAGGTACCCATATAGTAGGCTCTTGGGTTATAGATAGTATAAGTTTATATAGGGACTCAAGGACAGGAACCTAATATATTCAATATATAGTTAACTGGGCTTCTAGGGTATAGATATATATATATACACAACCTTTCGCAAGCAGGCTGCCGGGCGACATCGGAAGCGAAGCCCTCCCTGCCACGATTGTAGCCTCTTTAACTGGACCCGTCCAAGGGGAAGGGGTAGGGTTTAGGGTTTAGGGTTTTGTAGCCTCTTTAACTGGACCCGTCTAAGGGGAATGGGTAGATGGGTAGTTCGGAATCAGTCAAAGCGTTAGACATTGGGGAACATCTGGTTGGCCAGCATTTGGTTCGGGAGGGTACTCTAAGAGTTTCCGAGGCCATGGGCACGATGATGTCAGATTCCACATCGTTTGCAGGGATTTACACATTATACACATTCCACATGCTGTGTCTTTGCAGGATGCGGGTTGGGGGGAGGCGCGCAGTTGCACGCTCCTAGCATCAACCTCTTCTGGGGATCATAGACACCAACGGCTTCCTAGCCTAAACTACACAATCAAAAAAGCCACTAGCATTCCTGCCACAAGCCTTCTGTATGGCTGCCACATGCCGACTGCATGGCTGTGACATGCGGGCTAATTAAGGTAGACCCCTGATTAACTAAACCCCTCCCCTGAAGAGGGATTATGATGAAAAATTGGGGGTGTGTTAATCAGGGGTCTACATTATTGCAGCAATATTCTGAGGAAGCGCTGCCGATGGCAAGCTTGATTACAAGACCCTAAGGGCCCAAGCCTTCAAATAGTAGATAATTTGGGCCCCAATGGGTTCCTATACAGATACTTTGGGCCCCAATTACATACTATTTAGGTACTGGGACTCTTAGGGAAAGGTTTGGGAAACATGTCTGCTGCCCCTTCCGTCTGATTCACGAGGGGCGCAAGCAGTTTTTCTGTATGGAATGCTGCATAGCCCATTGCAAGCCGCAGCTCGCTCGGCAAGTTCAAAGAAAACCAAGATATGAGCTATATCTTAACTCGTAGCATCCCCCTTAATAACCCCTATGGTAGTCCCCTATATAATCCCCTATATAACCCCAATTCAAGGAGCTTAGACTATGGCTAATATGCCTGTCAGCTGTCATTTGAAACCCTAAACCCTAAACCCTAAACCCTAATATGCCTGTCAGCTGTCCCTGGCCCTGCCAGGTTTAGCCAAGAAGCGTGAGAAAGCTGAGAGGAAGCTGGCCCCATCTGCACGCTTAAGCTGACAACAGGTTTAGGGTTTAGGGTTTAGGGTAGAATAATCCCTTCACCAGAGGGTTCAGGTACCCAATAATTAGGTATTTGGGTTTTGGGTAGTAGTAATTTTAGTACAGGTTGTGGGCAAGTACATGATTATTAGGTACTTGGATCCTTAAGGAACCTGGATAAGTGATCAAGTAATTCCGTCTTCCTGGAACATATCAGCTTCATTCTGAGATGCTAAATTGTATAGGGCTGGGGGGGTATGATTTCTTGACGACAGTACCCTAGAAGCCCGGGTACCCATCAGGTAGGCTCTTGGGTTATAGATAGTATAAGTTTATATAGGGACCCAAGGACAGGAACCCAATATATAGGTAACTGGGCTTCTAGGGTTAGAAAGTGGCTGCAGACGCGTTGCCTTAAACCCTAAACCCTAAACCTTAAAACCTAAACCCTAAACCCTAAAACCTTAACCCTAAACCCTAAACCCTAAACCCTAAACCCTAAAACCCTAAAACCTTAACCCTAAACCGCGTGTTTCCGTGAAAAGCGACTCTAAGTCTCAGATGGTGCAGCCAGGATCGTGACTACATCAAAAACGAGATCAACAATTCCTTTCAGGCAGGGTTTAGGGTTTAGGGTTTAGTTTTTGCGATTCGGAATGCCTTGTGGGTTCCTAAAGGGTATAGTCCCCCAATAATGGAGAATCAAATGGAAAAGAAAATGGAAAATGAAATGGAAACTGGGGGAATATAGGGATTGAAGGAACTCAAATTAAGTTACCATAATGGGTATATATAGCAAATAATGGGGTTTCCCCAATATAGTAACTTAATTTAAGTTCCTTAACAGCAACCCAGCCTTGCGATTCGGAATGCCTTGCGGTTCGTACCTGTCTTGACTAGCATGATAGCCAGCACTAGCTTTGCAAATGTTGCTGCTATATGCTTTGCAATGTGATTCTTCCCTGCGCTCCTAGCTCGGCCGCGATGATGGCCGTCGGAATTCTCAATCGGGAGGTTCTCAAAGCAGCTTCTCTTATAATCTTCCTACACTCCTTGCAAATCCCTGGCATTCCCCCCAAAGGCGCCTAATTCTGAAAGCCTCCCCTCATCTAATTTCCTTGCCATTTAACAGCTTAAGCCCTGAACCCTAAAGCCATTAACGCCCTAAACCCTAAACCTCAAAGCCCTGAGGCGCAACGGGATCCGGGAGTGCGCTACTACAACTCAGTGGCGATTCGGGCCTGGACCTTGGCTGGGAGCTTTAAGGGTTCAAGGGTTTTGGGGTTTAAGGGTTTAAGGGATTAAGGGGTTTAAGGGTTTAGAGTTTAGGGTTTAGGGTTAAGGTGTGTAAGGGTTTAAGGGTTTAAAGGGTTTAAGGGTCTAGGGTTTAAGGGTTTAAGGGTTTGGGGTTTAGGAGTTTAGGGGTTTAAGGGTTTAGAGTTTAGTGGTTCAAGGGTTTAGGGTTTAGGCGTTTGAGGGTTTGAGGTTTAAGGGTTTAAGGGTCTAGGGTTTTGGGTTTAAGAGTTTGGGGTTTAGGGATTTAAGGGTTAGAGGGTTTAGGGTTTACGGTAAAGGAACTTAATTCAAGTTACCATATCAGGGAAACCCTACTATTTGCTATATGTAGCCATTATGGTAACTTGATTAAAGTTCCTTTACAGCAGCCCAGTATAGGGTCTAAGGATTTAGGGTTTAGTTTAGGGGCCCTGTCCTCAACTGGGTCAGCCTTTGGGATGTACAAAAAATGTCCCTCATTAGTTTAAGGAACGTACATGAAACATAATTTCTCAAAGGGCTCTAAAAGCCATCCACGTTGAAAGCTTTTTTCTGGCTGACTTGGAAGCCTTGAGCATCAGATGAATAGTAGCCGCTGAGCCCTAAATTCTGGATAGGGTTTGGGGTTACTTACTAACTCTCCCTGACCCTAAAAGGAGGCTTTAGGGGTGGAGCCCTAAATTCTGGATAGGGTTTGGGGTAGCTTGGGGTTTAGCTTGAGCCTTCAGGTTTGTGATTGGGTTCGGTGTAAAAGCCTGAAAACGGATGATCCCTTAGACACCAGTATAGTATACTCCAGAACCTCATTCTACATCCTTAGCCCTCTACATGAGGCATCCTCTTGTTGCCATCTCGAAGGCCATTTTGTGCAAAGGCCCATGCGTATACAAAGACACCAGACGAAGAAGCCACAGTATCGAGGTTTGGTGCCTAGGGTCTTTGGGTCATTCATCTGTCCACACCTCATATAGGCTATAGTCTAAACTCCTTAAAGGGGGTTGTATAGGGGACTACTATAGGGTTGATTAAGGGGGGGACTAGGAGTTTAGACAATATAACCTTAATATAACCCCTAAATACATTATAGCATATGGTATATTATGGTATATATCCCACGTAACATCCCAATCAGTTCGCAGCTTTGGGGATCTCAAGTGTTGCAGGATTTCCTGCATCCACCGTAGAGCGGGTTATTTCGAAGCTGCAAGCAAGGCTTGCGGCCCTGCTTGGGTGAATTCATGTCACCTCCTATATATTCGTCCAGGCAGCATATCAGCTATAGCCTAAACTCTTGAAAGCGGGGTTATATAGGGGAGTATATAGGGAACTACTATAGGGGTTATTAAGGGGGATGCTAGGAGTTTAGACAGTGGCTCATATAGAATGTTCTCAAGATTGTGATCCCACTTTAGGTGCTTTGCTCATTAGGGCTGCTATCTATGTTCAAACGGACCAAAACAAATACCAGCCCCCGAGATGGCCTTCGCACAGGCAGGACGTGTAGCATTCTCACCGCCAAAGCGAGGTCCAGATACAAGAATGGCTTACAAGTACTCCTGAGGTTCCTGCCCGGTGGCTTAGTTTAACGACTAATAGTCGCTCTCCCCTGATAACAAGCCTCGCCCCCCAATTCAAAACCCACCCGGAGTATTTGCCATCGGGAGACTTTTGTTGCAAAGGGCTAGAGGGGATTTATGTAAAATCAACTGAAGTTCTTGTTAGAACCGACTTAAAGAAAATGAACTCGAATTGAAGTCCAGTTGAAATCTACTTAAAATCAAACTGACATTTATTAAATAAGATTCAAACCGCACCAAGTAAGACCCACTTAACATGTAACTGATATCAATGAAAACTCACTAAAACCGAAGTAAGACCAATTAAATGACAATCAAAACCCACTGATACTTCAATTAAGCATGCATTCGAAGTCAAATCCAACCCCATGAAGTCACAATGACATCAAGTAAAGTCACGTTCACATATTTTAGGCAAATTCCTTTAGAAAAGCTGTATTGCAAGATCAAATACTCAAGGGGGATCCTTAATTCCTTTGAAGGCCTTGTCACAACCTCCCTTATGACCTCAGAACCCCAGTAGCTTAGCCCTTCTAAAGTAGTTTCAGTCAGTTTCGGAAATGGGGGGGAGTATTTAGTTGTGGGGGTGGGGGCGTTTATCGTAATCGGGAAGCGGTTGGTACTAACTAGAGGGGCCTACTGCCAGTGCAAGGTCCACAAGGGCGAAAAAGCCGTGGACGCGAAGACCATTGAGCAAGTTGCGTCAGCTCAGGCCTAGACCCTTCGCCTCAAACCCTAAACCCTAAGCCCCAGGGTTGAAGGTTTAGGGTTACACCCTATAAAGCCTAAACCCTAAACTCTGAACCGCAATCTTACAGGCGTCCCTTCATCCCTACTACCTCCTGATAGCAACAGCTCTAGTAGTAACAACAGGAGAAAAGTAAGATGATGGTAATAGTCTGTGTGAGAGAAAAGTTAGAGCAGTGGTCTTAATTCAGGATTAGTAGTAGCAGTTGTAACAGACACAGTGGAAGTCAAATTAAGATGATGTAAGAGATCGTGTAGCGCTCCAGCCCTCCATCTCCGTTATTGCGCGGCCACCTCGGCTGTTGGGGTGCGCAGAAGGAGCACTCATTTTAGGGTTTTAGGGTTTAGGGTTTAAGGGGACCCTAAACCCTAAACCCTAAACCCTTTACCTTAGGGTTTAGGGTCGGGGGGGCCGAGGAGACCGGCCCCGGCTTCCAAGCTGGAAGTCTTGAACATTTCCTCGTTGAGGGTGGGACTTGACAGGGCCGCGCCGTTTGAAGGGTCAAAGGGGAAGGGGCTACTAAATCCCAAACCCTAGGAGGGTTCCAAATGCCCTCAACCCTCAACCCTAAACCCTAAACCCTAGGAGGGTTCCAAATGCCCTCACACTAGACCAGCCTCGGCCAAGTTGTTAGTAATCTTGAAGCTGGGTTGCTGTCAAGGAATTGAACGTTCGTTACCATGATGAGTATATTCTTTATTGGGGTCTGAGTAATGGGTATATAGGGTATAGAGGGTAAATACATAGGGTTTAGGGTTTCAGCTATCATGACGGGCAGATATATATATATATAAAGCAGCAATCCAGGAAAAGGCCCTTATTTGGTTTTCATGCTGGTTTGGATGAGGGCAGTAGTTCTGTATGTGGACTCTCATGGTTTGCTTTGTGTTTTGTGCTTACGCACGGAAAGCGGAAGAGTGAAGCAATGCAACGGTCCATATGACCAATATAGGTTTCTATTCAAGCTTTACATCACACGTCCTGAAATCCTATGGAAGCCAATTGTCCATGTCATGTTCCCTGCCCTAAACCCTAAACCCTATTGGAAATTCTTCAGGCTTCTACCCTGAAGAAACCTGAAGATGTGAATCCTACACCCTTGGACAAAAGCTCCAAACCCTCCAACTTCTTCCCCTAAGGGCCCAAGTACTTAAATTGTAAGCAATGTGGGCCCCATGTATCTCTATGAGAAACCAGTTTGGGCCGAACTACTATGTATCTAGGTACTTGGACCCTCAGGGTTCAACATGAGGCGCAGCGCTTCATTCTCGTCACCCTCTGGCAACTGGCGACAGCAGCATTTCTAGGAATCAAGTCTCAATCAAGTACTTTCAAATCAGGATACGGGAGCCCTAAGGTCATATGTTCCTTTTGGGTTCAGTTTTTGTTAATACTCGTGTGAGCCCTGCTGGACCGCGGCATGAACGAAGACTAGTCGGCCTCCAACCTCCGGCACATGTGCTCTGAAGCAAGTGCCACAGCATTCAGACTTGGTATGATTTAAGTCGTATGTCTGGTCTTAGGTCATAGTGACATCAACCTTTGTGAGAAGATTTAAGCAGCTATTGCTGCGCGTAGCACCCCATCCAGATTGCAAATGCTGACCGTCCGACTGGTATCGGGCGAATTGCTGGCGACGATTCCCACGCATGAACTTAGTACAGTGAGGGCCCTGAAACAACACTTGCATGGCCTCTGTGATGCAGCACGGTTTCGCCAGCGGCTGTTGCATGACGGCAGACTTTTGGAAGATGATCTGAAGCTGGACGGCTCTCTCGACCTGCAGTTGGTTTTGCTGAGCTTCATCAATCCTACACGTGACCAACTCACAGAGATCATCAGTGCATCCTGGGGTGGTAACGTGTCTGAGCTTGAGGAGATACTCTCTCGTCCACAAGATCCCAACCACTTCATTCCTCGCGAACCTGAAAACTTGCCTGCATACGCTGATGACTTCCCGCTGGGTGCGTTTTTGCCTCTGTCGCCGCTTCAGATGGCGGCCAATTTCGGCAAGCTTGATGCCATGCGTCTCCTCATTGAGGCTCGTGCCGACCTCGGGCCGGCCCACTGCAGCATCAGCAGTCTTATTCTGGTAACCCAACCCGGAAGTCTTGATGCCATGAAGCTGCTGCTTGAGGCCAGGGCGGATGCAGAAAACGCACTGGCGACAGCCGCCAGGTTGGGCAAAACGGGTGTGGTGCAAGCGTTGTTGGAGGACGGAGCCGAGAAGGATGTGGAAGATCATGATGGCGTGACGCCGCTTTTGAAAGCATGCTGGTCTGGGCATGTGCACGTTGTACGCTTGCTGCTAGATGCGGGTGCCAAACCAGCCGCATGCAACAAGAAGGGCATATCCTACCTCGCGGAGATGCGTCTGCGTAGGCTTTCCAAATTTCAGCGGCTGGCTCAGCTGCCTCATCGGCTGGCTGACTTGCGTATGTGGCTACGGTCAAGGTGGGGTCAGCAAACTGTAAGGCGCTTGCGGATTCAGCGGCTACTTCCTGTCTCCAGATGGTTGCGGGCAAGCCACCGAGTTGGAACACACCGGCTGGTGAAACCGCGCTCAAAGTAGCGAACCGCTACGGACACTACATGGGCTATTATAGTCTAAACTCCTACAATGGTATCCTCTTTAATCGCCCCTATATATATATAATAAATATGATCCCCTATATACTGCCCTTTGGAAGGAGTTTAGACGATGGCTCACATAGCAAACAGTCATGAGCCCTTGCAGCCATGCAATGCAGGACTTGCAAGAGTGTGTCACCGACCTCCGACGCACAATGAAGGCCCCCACAAAACCTACTGCCCAAACGAGGTGGGCTTTCTGTAGTATTATGTAGTGATAGTTGGCAGTTTTGGCTGGAGCCCCAGAAGCCTAATCCCTAAACCTTTTAGAAGCTTTCTAGTGCCAGCCATTTTTTCTGAACGGGTTTATCTACATGTATAGTGTGCTGCTCTTAATATGTCAGTTCATAGTTTCTTGCAGGTCCCTTGTGCATTTCCCATGTTGAGGCACAGGACTTCTGGCACACTCCTTTGCCCTCACTATGAGAATCCTAGGCCCTGACGGAAGTATGGTCTTATGGAGGAAGAACCATTCCCTAGGCACACGTCCAATTTGCGCTCTTCAACCCCCTGAACCCTAAAAACCCCTAGCGCAGCCACAGCATATGGTATGCCCGCAAAGTGTACGTCATCTTTGAGGTTTATGATACACAGATGTAGCATGTGCTCCAAAGGTTTTGGGTTTGGGGGGCTAATTGCCTTTAACCCTCAACTATGACCGCGCTACACCGAACAAAGACAGAAACTGAGATGATAGGTTGTAAAAAGCATGGTCCCCTCGAGGGTCCACGATACGGCTTGAACATAAACATTGAGGGTAGCCAAATTTGGACCATGACCCCCTCTCCCCCAAGGTAGACCTCTTATCATGTGCAGTACCCGCAACATCCTGCCAGCACTGGTCCGTGCAAAATCCGAGGTCCTAAACCCTGGAAACTCACTTCACCTTATCCCTGAAACTGACTGTGTTGCCGATTTGCACCCCGTTTCACTTCTTTTCGGAGAGACCATGTGAAACTAAGGACAACGTAATCCCATCCCTCTGATGAGGAATCCCCGCTGCCCCAGAATGATACATGTTGTCCTCTGTGATATTTTGAATTGCTCTCATTATCTTGTGCATGTTCATCATGTGGGGAGTATGAGGGGTTTTGTTGTTTGGGGGAGTGGATTATGCCCCACACAAGTAATCCCAGACAACTAGGGTTTTTTTGGTTCAGTGGGATTTAAGCTCGTAATATAATGATCTCAGAATCGCCGTTGCGACGTCCCCACGTGCTTCCCCCATACTCTTCTAGGGGATCCAGTGGTTCAAGTTGCCTGCAAGGACGGGATGGGTCCAGGCTGTGTACCTTCAACTTGCGTGGAAGCCCTTAAGGCTCGTTTTCAAGAGCAGTTTAACAAAAGCCCTGAAATATTTGTTCTTTGGTTTTCATGCTGGTTTGGGTGGAAGCAATAGTTCTGCATCTGGACTTTCACGGTTTGTTTTACGTCTTATTCCTGAGGGGAGTGATGTTGTAATGCGGGGGCCATTTAACAAATTCTGGTTTCCTTTCCCCTAAACTACCCTAAAGCCTAAACCCTAAACCTCCGGCTGTGCAGGCAGGGAAGGGCAGCACCCGCACGAAGGAGGAGAACACGCCTTGGCTCCTTTCTGATCTGCCATAGGGTTCAGGGTTTAGGGTTTCGCAAAATAATTCCAATAGAATCCCGAAGACGGAACGCATCATTCCCCTACCATCCCCGTGTAGCGATACGTAGTCTAAACTCCTAGTATCCTCCCGAATAACCCTTATAATAGTTCCCTATATAACCCTTTTAAAGGAGTTTAGACCCTAAACCCTACATAATCCGCGATATAGCCCCTTTAAGGAGTTTAGACTCTAGCCCATATGCCCCCTAAGGGTTGCTAAGGGCCCCTCCATGCTTAGAAACCTCTGCGTTTTAGGGTTTAGGGCTAAGGGTTCAGGGTTGTTTAGGGTTTAGGGCTTAGGTTTCCGGGGCAGTTTTTCTCAAAAAAGGGGTCAGCCTAAGGGACTGTGACATAGGCCCAGAGCTCCCGTAGCTGACAATGCTGAAGGCATCAGGTGTCCATTTTTTGGGGAAAGGTCCGAAGTAGGAACAGCAAGGCTTGCCAGCAATGATAGCAGCAGTGGCGGTGACGATTCATCATTCCACGCTTTAGACTCCAAAGTCGGGGAACTTGGGACGCTCAGCTAGATTCCCAGGGGCTCCAGATAGGACAGACCCTCCAAGAAACCCCAGACTTCGGGTATACGGTATACGCTTATACCAAGGATTAGAAGTCTGGGCCCCTAACATGGGGTATATAGTTGGTAAATATGAATATGATCCCAGGATTAAGGGCCCATACTAGGGGCAGATGGTTTCAAGCCTGGGTCCTTCTTACCGGGTCAGTCGTACCGTTTTTCGGGGCTGAAGGGAATCTACTTGAAGAACGCCTTTCTGAGCTAAAGCGTTTAATTGCTAAAGCCAGGGATCTCAATATGCCTGACAAGGTCCCGAGGAAGGGTTTACGGGTTAGGGTCTAAGTTCTAAATTTTTGGGTTCAGGGTGTAGGGTTGAGCGACTCTATGCCCCGGGCGTACCTGCTGCATACTGCGTCTTTCCAGACATGGCAATTTTTCTTTTTGGTTTGAAGGGAGGGGTGGTGTTATGTTTTCTGACAAAGGTTATGGTGCTTGGGGGAAGGGCCTAGAGCTCTCCCAAATTTCATGGGGAAGATGAGATTGCTGGGCAGAACGCTTTCATAACGAAATTGGTTTCTGTGAGGACCCACACTCGATCATGGATTCCCCTACTACCCCCCTTTATACTACCCCCATAGGTTCCCCCTCAATAAACCCTAATCAGGCCTAAATACATTTAAATAGTCTTAACCTAGGGGGAACCGATGAGGGGGGTAGCATGGAGGGGGTAGTAGGGGAACCCATGACTCCATGGGTTCGTACAGGGTGCAGGCTTAACTGTTACAGTCTGGCGGTACGGTCGGAAGTCCTCGCCTGCAAGCAACTTTCTTCAGGTCGTTTTAGTGAAAAGTGGTTTATGGTTAAGGGTTTAGGTTAGGAACCCTAGGAAGCATTTTACTATAGGCAATCAACTTCTTTACGATAAGGACCCCTACCTCAATATTTAAATGCTTGGGTTTAACTGCTGCCTAGTCCCCCTCATTAGGGCTCTTTGGTGCTCAGTAGAGAATGAAGGCTCAGGACTCAAGCGTATTCTGAGGCAGTATGCAGATTTCTTATTTTGGTCGAATCCCTTGCAAGAAGCCCCAATCCTATGTAATCCGCATGTATTGGCACTAAGTCACTAAGGGTCCCTTCTTGTGAGAGCCCACCCCTACTCTTCGGACCCTCCAGTCCCATCACCCACTCCCTCCCCTGGAAATTCTTCCAGGAACGCTGTAGACGGGACACCAGCATTTTGTAGAGCCCGTTCTGGTTCACATTTTGGGCGAATGTGCGTAAACCCTAGAAACCCTGCAAACCCTATGGAATCCCCATTCACCCTCTTGAAAGAAGAGGCCCAAATTGCCAGGAGCGCGTGATGGCGCGGAGAGTTGCGTAGACGTAGAACTTCCCTGGCCAAGCGCCTGAGGCATCAAATAAACCAGCCATCTGTCAGATCTAGATGAGAGGTGCCGAAGATTAGGGACCCTAAGCCTCCCTCATTTTTGGGAGTCCCAGTAATCAGGAGTAGAAAATTTAGATACTGGTATCTATGTTGGGGCTCCGCACTTGCAGATCGCCCCCCGTGACAAAACATCAAGTGTGTGTAGAGGCCGTGGTTTTGTACTGTAGTGATATGCACATGTAGTGCCATGTCTAGACGTGAACGTCTCTCAGGACATACGTACACAGAACAGCGCATGCTGGAGATGTGCGATCCTGCAAGCAGCATCTATCGGAGGATTGTTTGATGCCCTGCGCGATGGTCAGGACGATTTCAGCCTTACCTAGCTGCCCTAGCTCCAGCGTTGACCAGCTGCTGCGCAGGAAAAATCATGTTCGTCCTTAAGGGATGCGCACCCCTGCCTGCCGCACGTCCCTCCAGGCCAAAGCAAAGGCTTCGTCTGCTTTTTAGTGGAAGGATGCAAACAAATCTGTCGTCCGCACCTCTTTTGGGGGGAGCAAATGTGGGTTAAGTGCAGGATGTCGAGCGGTTCTGGCTGAGACAGTTCAGGCTTCAGTAAGAGGGTTTAGGGTTCTTGCTTATTAGAAAATTTTGCTGAAGTGCATTTGCCTGTTCCAATTTGGAGAACAGTGATTTCAACCAACTCTCACATGAATAGCAGTTTCACATGGGAGTCTTACAGTCCCTATTATACAGACTGCGATTATGTCTTCCTCTTGGGTATAATTCTATGAATTACTGTACTTCATAATTACGTAAGAAACGCCTTAAACCCTAAACCAAACCCCGAACCCTACCCAGGTCCAGGCGCATCTGAATGCTGCAGCTGCGGCCACAAGCCTCCGCACCGAGTGCTTGGTGGGAGGCCGTAGATTATAATAGCGTTTAGGGTTTAGGGTCCAGGGATATGAGAGGATTTTGGCAACCCCAAACCCTCCAAAGTTAGGACCCCATGATTATCTTACGATTCTACTAGGCTCCTAAGTATGGGAATTAGGGTTAAGACATAGCTCTCCGAAAACCTCTGTAGAAGTCCAGTCTCAAATTATTTTGCATGTATTTCCCCACGCGCATGTCCAGTATTGAAATTCTGGAGCCCCTCTGTGCCTCTGCAGAATCCCATGAGCTTGATATAGGGACTGCATAATTACCGATATTATGGTCCCATATTCCTTATATAACTATAGTATAGGGTACCTGGACCTCAAAAGGAAATTGGTAATTATTTAGGCCCCTATATTAGGGCCTATGAGGGCCTAGGTAGGGGTTGAGACCTGGGTTTTGGATGGAGTTTCTCCTACCAACCATGCAGGGAAGGTTCGAGGCTTTTCGAGGTTCCTGCGT